TTCCTTCCTTCCTTCCTTCCTTCCTTCCTTCCTTCCTTCCCTCCCTCCCTCCCTCCCTCCCATTATATTTCTAACTCTCTATACATGCACCCAGATAGCATGTATTTAATTTTTTTAAAAAAATGACATATATTATGTAGTGATTAAAAATAAACATAATAGAAAGAAAAAACAATCAAAACCCATATAAATCCATTTAGCAGTGATATGGGCTTAAAATAAACTAAACATTACAGAAGGAAAAAATAATTAAAATCCATATAAAATCCATTTAGCGTTGATATGGGATTAAATAAATCCTTAAGCTTGTTAAAACTAGACCTATGGAAATAGATTGCTTCAATTTCTAATTTATAGAATCTAAAAGCTTTTCAAAAACCAATAACTGAGAGTCTTTGGGGATATGTTTAAAAAGCAAAGTTCCAGTGTATAATGATAATTTTTTTCATAAAGTTTTGATTCATTATTATTTTTATATTCTATTCATCCTGCTCTGGGTCAATCAATGAATGTTAAGAATACATATGGGTATATTCTTAGTATTTGGGAGATATTGAGGATCCTGATATCCTAAGGGGCATTGCCTGAAATAATTTTTACAGCATAGAAAGCAGAAATCTACAATGTAGAATTGGATTGTCCATAATTGCATGTTGTTAACATTTGAACAAGTGTTAAAAAAAAAGGAGTAATTTTTTTTGAGCAATATGATCAATATTTTTAAAACGGTTCAATTTATAACATAATTTTTAGGGCATATTAATTTGCAGCCGGTGTGTTAATTGTTTAATACTGTTTATGCATTTATGCATTTTTTTTATTTGCAGGATAAAATAAAACATTAAATGAAAGACAGAGCCTCTCTGAAAAATAACACATATCTGTGTTTCCTAGGAGTAAATATAATCCAGAAAGATGTCTCAGAGCCCAGAAGTTGTTGTCCCGATGGCAGATTGCAATACAAATGGTATCCAGATTCAGACATGGAGCTCAACAAAAACCAGCACCGTTGCCTTTCGTAACATCAGCTACAGAGTGAAGACGAAGAGTGGATTTATCGGCTGTCGAAAAATACTTGAAAAAGAAATTTTGAGAGATATCAAGTATGTACATTTAGTAAGCCCACTTGCGTGTTCAGCTTGTTTTCCTTGTAGTTATCCTTAGCATTTGCATAGGATTTTTTAACATGGCTCATATGCAATATTTTGGAAACTTTTAGGACCAGATGGTGGCACTTGGATAATATCCCTGGGATTTGGAGTTTGTCTATTTTTTTGAGGTTGTACTCCACTGAAGCATCAGGTGTATAATTTGAACTATTTTTTTTTAGTCTGTGTGAGCGCACTTTTAAGACTCCTGGCCTGGCCTGAATTAGTGTTCTTGGAAAGATTTCAGAAGTAGTTCGCCATTGTCTCCATCCTTGGGCTGAGAAAGAATGACTGGCCCAAGATCACACCCAACGTGGAACATGATTTCTATAATTCTGAACCACTGCACTAAATTGACACTGATAATTTGGGCCTGCATAGCTTCATTTAGGCCCCAGTGGCTTCCGTAGTAAAGAGTGATTTTTTTCAGCTTCAGCTGATCTACTAGTTGAATCTATTCCTGGACAGTTAATATTTGAACTCTTATCTGTGACCTGGCTAGCCTGTCAGGCCTGGGGACAAAGATAATTGCCCCCACCCGAATGATGAATGAATGTTGCTTATTATTTTACTTCTATGTATTGTGTGTGTCTGCTGTTCGTATACCCCCTCCCCTCATTTTATGCAAGCCGCCCTGAGTCCCCTCAGGGAAAAGGGCGGCCTATAAGTATTAATAAATACTCAAATACTCAAATATTTATTTTACATCAACAGAAAGTTCCAATCAAGAAGGGTTCACACTCATGAGAAAGAATATAGTTTGTGGTTTTTTTCCTCTCAGAACGACAAGCTCATCTGATATTCTAGGACAGGGGTGTCAAACTCAAGGCCCGCAGGCCGGATCCGGCCCATGAGTTGCTTAGAGTGGGGCTTCCCTGGAAACAGAGAAGGACCGGCACGCGGTGCCTCTGCAAGAGAAAATGGAGGTTGGGACGGCTGCACAAGGCCTGGCAGAGGGCTGCAGGAAGCTGTCGCAGCTGAAAACAGAGCCGAAGAGGACTGTCAGTCCTCTTCAGCTTGTCCAGAATGCAGCCGCGCGAGCGATTGTGGGTGCACCTCGGTACACCCACGTTACACCTATCCTCTGCGAGCTGCACTGGCTGCCTATTGGTCTTCGGATACACTTCAAGGCGCTAGTCGTCACTTATAAAGCCCTTCATGGTATTGGACCTGGGTACTTGAGAGACCGCCTGCTGCCAATTACCTCCACTAGACCAATTAGATTCCACAGATTAGGCCTCCTCCGAATTCCATCCACTGGCCAATGCCGACTGGTGACCACCCGGAGGAGAGCCTTCTCTGTGGCTGCTCCGGCCCTCTGGAACGAGCTCCCCGTGGAGATTCGAACCCTCACCACCCTCCAGGCCTCCGCAAAGCCCTTAAAACCTGGCTGTTCTGACAGGCCTGGGGCTAATGAGCTTTTGTCCCCCCTCGAATGGTATGGTTGTTGTGTGTTTTTAAATTGTGGTATTGTTTTGTTCGTGTTTTTTTCCTTATTTGTACCCCCCCCCCCTTGACTTGGGTTGTGAGCCGCCCTGAGTCCCTTTCGGGGAAAAGAGCGGCATAGAAATATAATAAATTCAATTCAATTCAATTTGTATATGGACTGTAGGACATTGAGCTAGCCATGCCCACTTGCCCCCCCTGAGGTCAAACGCAACCCTGATGCGGCCCTCAATGAAATCAAGTTTCACACCCCTGTTCTAGGACATATCTAATCAAATGTTTATTGACTAATCTTTCTGTTAAGAATAATTTTTATGATGGCCATTGGTAAATTTCAGTGGATCGAGTCAGAGGTGGGCGTCACATAATGTAACAACCGATTCGCCCAGAACTGAAAATGTGCATGCGCGTGGCATCCAATACATGGCGATTACATAGGACATGATAGCGCTGGGGCAGATGGGTGGGGCCCGACGCTGCTGAGAACTATCAGTTCACCTGAACTGGTCTGAACTGGCAGCAGCCCACCTCTAGATTGAGTCCAGTGGAACCTGTGCAGCAGTGAAAAAAGTGCTGTCTTTTTTGAGGTGTACTACAGTCTCTTAGGTCGTATCCCATACTTAATTTTTAAAAAATTATGAATGAAAAGAAATAGACGTCTCTTTCTATTAAGAATAATTTTTATGATGGCCATTGGTAAATTTCAGTGGATCGAGTCAGAGGTGGGTCGTTGTAAGATCGATCCATTCTGGTTCGGTCACCGGGACCAGAATCTTTATCTGTTGAGCTTTCAGAGTCATGCTGAAGCCCATCTTCAGGGAAGTTGTCTCTCACCAAAATGTACAGTAGAGAGAAGTTCCCTGAGGATGGGCTTCAAAAGCTCAGAAGATTAAACCTCTAGTCCCGCTGAAGGACTCAGTTTGGATCCTACAAAAAAATCTTATCCTCCGAATCAGCTGGAAGAGAACAGAATATGAGATGAATCTCCAAAATCTTATGAACATGAAGTGTAACCACCAGATATCACGGGAAAAAAACATGAGAAATAAGGCGTTGTCTAGCTTGGAAAGTATTAAGCAAACACGAAGTATAATAACCCAGGTTCAAACATCAGGTTCCGTTGTTTGCTGTCCTTGGGTGCTTGTTGTTTGGCTCTCCCTTTAAATGTTAACTTTCCATCATCGTTGCATCATTCCATCATTGATCTGTGTAAGGGGTTCATTACGATATGGGATCAGTGTGTGATGCTATAAATAATTAACTGAATTATATTACTCTCTGTGTGAAAAGTAAAATGTTACTCCCTGCAGAATATCCAACCAAGTACATGTACAGTAGGTAGCTAGAAACGATGTTTGATGAAAGCAGAAGTAATCAAACTTAATGACAACCATAAAAAGTCAATGTTTCAGAGAGTATCCCTGAGGTCACGGTTATATTTTGAAGCCAAGATTATTATTTTTCACACAAAAACTTCTGAAAGTAGATGTAAGTTTCTGCATATTTGGATCAATGGATTTCAATTGACTACTACGGGTAGTCTTTTACACGATCCCAATTGAACCCAAATTTATGTTGCTAATTGAGAAATTTGTTAATTGAGTTTTGCCCCATTTTATGAACTTTCTTTCCACATTTGTTAAGTGAATCATCTCAGTGGTTATGTTAGTAGCACGGTTGTTGAGTGAATCGGGCTTCCGCGTTGACTTTGCTTGTCAGAAGGTCGCAAAAGGGGATCCCATGACCCTGGGTATAGAAATATGAACCAGTTGCCCAGAAAAAAAGTCACATGACCATGGAGACTCTCCAATGGTCGTAAGAAAAATGATCATAGGTCACTTGTTTCAGTGCCCTTGTAACTTTGAACGGTCACTATATGAACTGTTGTAAATTGAGGACTATCTGTATCTAGATGTCTATGGAGATTCTCAGTCATCCAGTCCAGTGGTGGGATTCAAATAATTTAGCAACCGGTTCTCTGCCCTAATGACCAGCTGGGTAGGCGTGGCTTGGTGGTCATGTGACTGGTTGGGCGTGGCCAACTCAACATCACTCAGGTCGATGGGCGCTTCGCCTTAGCTGTTACAATGTAATAAGGGTTAACCAGAGAGGCAGTTTCTGTAAGCGGGGCAATAAAGATTAGGCTAGAAACACCAGAATGTTTCCTTACAGGATTATCCCTGTGAAATGGAAAAAAAACACAAAATGAGATATCTTCCAACAACCGGTTCTCCCAACTGCTTAGAATAGGTGCGAACCGGCTGAATCCCACCACTGATCCAACTATCCACTGACAGTTGTCCCAGAGATGCTTTTTTCAAAAGGGACTTGGACTTTCATTGTTTTTCCCCGAAGTCTTTGTGCTTCCCATCCAAGAAGCTTCTTCACTCTTCAGTATCTAGAAGGACTTTCATTTACTCATCCAATTTTTAAACTCTGTTTGAAAAAATGCAGAAAAGCAACAATGAGAAGGATGTAGACAAAGGATGGCTAACCTTTTTGCCATTGCATGCCAAAAGTGGGGGGAGTGCAGGGGTGGATGGGTTGTGCGCGGGCGTGCCCACACCCATAATCCTAAATACGCAATTCCCCGCGCATGCGCGCATGACCCCTTCTCGGACTTCCGGTTTGTGTGTTGGTTGTTTTTCGCCCTCTGGAGGCTGAAAATGAAGGCCGAAGTCAGCTGCCAGAGCATGCATGTGCGGTGGAACTAACAGGGCAATGCCTCACATGCTCTAACCAATGGCTCCCTGTGCCACCTGTGATGTGTGTGCCATAGGTTCACCATCAGGGATGTAGACAATTTATACAAGGAAAGGCACAAGCTGGATTTCCTTTTTTAGGTTAGCAAGAAAAAAAAAGCAACTAAGGCAAAGGATATCTTGGATATTAAAAAAATCACCGATTGTATGGAAAATGTGGGCAAGATTTGCAGGGTTTGGGGGCATTTTTTTTGGTAAAGTAGTCTCCTGCTACCGATAGTCCTCGATTTATAATAGTTCATTTAGTGATTGTTCAAAGTCTCAATAGCACTGAAAAAAGTGACGTACGACTCCTTTTCACACATGACTTTTGCAGCATCCCTGTGGTTCACAGTGACCACAATTCAGATGCTTGGCAACTAACTCATATTTATGGCCATTGCAGTCTTCCAGGGGGCCGTTGTAACTTCGAATGGTTACTGTTGTGGCCCCGCAGGAGCCGTTGGAGCTGCAAACAGACTCCAATAGTGAGGGATCCTATGAGTCGGCTCTGGAAGATGTGGAGGACCCTGGATAGGGTTCAGCCTCCGAGCAGGGACCAGAGAGGCTGGTTGGCCCACAGGAGGCGCCTGAGGCATGGAGCAGCGGTGAAAGCCAAAGGGAGTTTGACCCTGATGTCATGCCCTGGAGCGGTGGTGAAGACGTCAGGCCCTGGAGCAGTGGGGAGGAGCTAAGGGAGGTGGTCCCGGACGCCAGGCAAAGATTGGCAGATAAGCGCTGACAGCAACTACGGAGATATAAAAGATAATTGGGACCAGGTGGTTGTGATT